CAAATCTCAGAAAAATGGTTTTGCTTTCAGGTTGCAATCCCTTTCCCCCACCCAAGTGTTATACACAGCTAATCATCTTACAAAGCACTTCCCCACTTTCATTTTTCACATTCCACATGCTTATCTTTTCTTATCTGAAGCAACAGTCCACTTATCTATGCACCTGTATACTGGAAAAGCACGCTGGAGTTTGGCACTGCTATCTGTGTTGTGCTAATTGCCAATTGCACAAACAGAAAAAATTACTGGGCTTCACAAGGATAACTGCTGCTAAGACCCCTTTCAGGATCTGTGTTTCCAATGATAACAATTGCTGTGTATCCTAATTATGTTTATAGTAGAGTACAATAACTCAGGTCAGAGTATCTCAAAACCACCTTTAAATAAAAAGAACAAATACCAACATATTCAGCACTCATGGGACACCTTTAAAACCTCCAAATTCACACAGAGAAAGAAAAATGTGATGCAAAGCTTGGCAGAACAGGAAAAAAGAAACAAAACTACCTTTCCTCATCAAAATACAATTAGATTGAATAAGATACAGAGAAATCTGTATCATTTTCATCAGACAATAGTGAACAAATCACCAGAGAAGACAGATGACTGACACTGGTATATTTCTCTTCTCAAATGACTTTTCTCCCAAACTGTTATGAGTTTCTGCCTTGACTCCTCCCCAGGTCCCCTCTTGCATGACTTCTTTTTACAGTTTAGAGGCAACAGAAATAACGCTGAAGATGCACGTGTTACAGAGGTTATGCAAAAATACACTGTTATGTCTACTCTAACAGCATCATTGACCCACAGTGCTACTAGCACAAGTCCTGGTTTGAACTTAAGAGAACCTAAAATATATTTGGACACGTATTTTTATCACTGCTATTTAGCTGCAATATCTAATTTGTTATTGACTAATTTTATCTTGTCTCTGGACTTCGCCAAAACATCTATGTATAAGAATTAAGAGCTTTGCAGAGCAATTTTTGAATGATTTATGCATCTCCATTAAAGGTATCTTTAGATATACTTTATGCAAGCTTCAATTCAACTCTTGCAAACAACTTAAAACCTTCACTGTTCAGTTACCACATATTAAAAAGCAGTGACTTGGGAAGAAGTAAAAATTCACTGCTTTCACAGCAGAACCTCCTTCATCCATCTACTCCGGTTCCAAACCAGCCTGTTAAAACTGACCAGCACAACCTGCTGCTGCACAAGGACGTCATACGTACCGATGCAGACTGTAAGCATGAGGAAAAGGTCTCAAGTCTAGTTAGAAAACTGTGGGCTGAAAGAAAGCCATGTGATAATTGGAACATAAGTAGAGCAATTCATTGGCAAAACCCAAGGGTGGCAGCTGACCAAGGTTGGTTAGTGACACCAAGCTGATTAGTGTCTCATTTCCACAAACAAAAGTCACAGGAGGATAAATAACTTCCCTTGGGCCACATGACACTGTTGCACTTTGGTTAACATGGTGTGCAACCACTGTAAAGCTGAGATTCCTGTTAAAGCAAAGCTTAGTTGTTTTTGTAGGGTTTTTAACCACTATTCAGTCCCCCCTTCCCTTTTCTTATTCTGTGTACCCAAGCTAACATGCTTGCGTTGTTTCAAAGACTGAAGAGATGCCAAATTCACATTTCTCATCCCTGTCAAACCATAAAGCAGGGTTCACGTGTTTGTCATAGGATCACAGGATAATTCTTTGTGCTTCTTTTTCTAAATGGAAGATGTCAAATTCTATTACAAGCACTAACTGTAGGAAGGACCTGCTTAGAAGAAAAATGCTGGTTTTATTCACAAGCCAGCAGTGAAGCTATCTGGGAAGGGTGAATTGTTATGCACTGACCAATATTGTCTTATGCAAGGGGTTGATGAGAAATTCTTATTGCAGAATGGCTTCACCTCTGTGTTGCTTAGGTGACACCACATCACTTAATATCCCAAATAATGCAGAACTCAGAGAAAAAGCATTCACAAACAAGACCATGAAAAAGGTTAGAGTAAGAAGGTCAGAGGGAAATGAGAATCCATCAGAATTGTAAGCTTACGACATTGTGCAAGGAGTATCTGAACAACAGATCTCCTACTTTGCGTCTAGAGACCAGCTATAAGCAGTTATATTACCATGATAAATCACAGGCTTGAAGGGCCATATCATTACTCAGTCACTTTAACCCATCCCTGATCAACTGAGCAACCCAAACAAGTCTTTAAATGTCTTGAAATAACGTTCTGAGTAGCAAGCCACTTAAAGATTTCCCTGAAGAAAATTCAGCAGTCCCTTATACTGGCTGTGGCACTACTTGACTGCAGATAAAGCCTGGACAATTGGCGTTGTTCGGGCAGCTCTGCGTGCATTCTTGCAGTGCCAACATGAATCATGCGCACTTTGATGGGGCCACAACCCAGAACTGACAACCTGCATTTAAGTCAAACAAACTTTACCTTATCTAAAATCAGAGAGATCACCAACATCAACCGGTCCCACCGTGAGTCCCTCAATCTGCTGCCACAGAAAGCTCTGGAAGGTCCCCCTCTTTGCTCCACAATGCAGGTGCTAAGCAGCTGTAAGATATTTGGCCTCCAACAGGAGCTTCCCATCCCTACCAGGTCCTGTTTTAGACTCTTCCCCCGGTAGGCGAGACTCCTGCTCTCTGCATAGGATACGGAAGGAAGCACCAAGAATAACACGGGGTGGGGGGGGAGTTTAGATTCCCCTCTGCAGAGCCATAAACCCACGAAGCCTAGGAGGAGATCGACAAGGCAGTGGGGAAGAACACTCTTGTCAGTACAGGTAGGTAAGAAACGTATCTGTATACGCATACCCTGAGGATATGAAACAACACTTAATTACTGTGAAAGTAAATTAAAAAATAGAAGACAGTTATAGTTCAAACAGAAACAGGACTTAACTACTGTACATTAATGGAGATGTTACCAGATATTTATCGGTTTTAAAATAAAGAGACTGAGCTAACTTCCAGCAGCGTGGCTCTGTGTGCTGCAGAGACCAGAGCTTGCCAAGTACCAGCAGACTGGGACAGGGAGCTGAACATCTTTCAGTGCGCTGCTTGCCCACACCCTACAGGCACTGTGATAGCCAGACAACAGGCAGCTTGAGCTGACCTTCCTTTATCCCCCACGGCAGCAGCTTCCACAGGTTCCTCTTACCAGCCAAAACTAATGAGCAGAGAAACAACCTGCTCAGATGGGTAAAAATCATCTATTATTGTCATACACATTAACTATACGTCAAGTAACCCGGACTTCAAGTACACCTGTTTATAAAGTGAAGTCAAGGCCCTACACAGCCTTTAGGGCTAGCACCTCAACTTGTCTGTGGAAACTGACAAGTCGGGAAGGACACTTGCCTTCCACAAGCCCAAAATGTGCATGCTGGAAAAAAAGCAAACATAATAGACATTAGATCTATATGAAATCTAAAATTCATTTGAGAACTATGGGAAAAAAAAAGACACAAGGTATACATTGGAGATTGGAGAACAAATTCACAGAGAACCAAAGAGAATGCCAAGCCAGAAACTGGATATTGATCTCACGACATCTGAGTATCACTCAGCAAAACAACCCTTTTCTCCTCCTTGAGAGCAGGCCTGAATAGCGCAGGCTCCCTTTGGGGATTATCGTGCATCCCATAACATTTGCATTATGAAAGGTTTGACTGCACAGGCAAGGAGGAGCAGGCCAGGTGTTTACTGATTTTTCTTTTGTTGCCTAGAATCCTGCGTGATTCACAGAGGGCAAGTCAGATTCACGTGCTGAGCCCATGGGAAGATCCTCCTCGCAAAGGCTACAAGACTAAACATAACTAAAGCAGAAAAAACATAAGACACCGCAAAGAGCTGAAATAACCTTTTAGAAGAACCGCCCCGCTCTCCACATCTAAGTGTTCTTCCTTTGCTGGCTGGAAACACTCACTGCATTGACACTAAAAAACACCAAGGCAGGCTGAGCGCTGCCACCAGTTACCCAGATAACCAAACACACCGCGCACCGCCCCGGATCCCTTCCCGAGGCACGGCTCCCTTCTGCAAGCGGAATGCACGAACCGCTAACAAAAAGCTCTGCCCGAGAGCAGCCTCCCCGCCACCACACACTTGCTGTAGCATCCAGGGCCCGGTGTCAGCCCTCGCTGCCCAGGCGCCTTCCTCGGGGTGCCGGCAGCAGGGGAAGCGGTGCCCTCGCCGCGTTCCCCATCCCTGCTCTCCCCGGGACCGCAGCTCTCGGCGCCTATCTCCCCGCACCCTCATCGCCTGCGGGAGGCCCGATAACGGCGGCGCCCCGGGCTAGCGAGGGGGAGCCCCCGGGGGAGAGCCCCCGGGGGGGATCCCGAGGGTGGATCTCCCCGGGGAGGATCTCCGGGGCCGGCGGTGCCGGAGCAGCCGGGGGCCGCCTTTGTGTGCCGCGGCGAGGCGGAGCCGGGCGGGGGAACCGCGCTCGCCCCGCCGGGGACCGGCAGCGGCCCCGGCAGCCGCAGCCCGGCCCTGGCCGCTCACCGTCGGAGCTGACGGTGTCGTAGGAGTCCGCGGCGGCTGGGGCGGCGGCCGGCTCTCGGTAGTCCACCCAGCTGAGCCCCTCCACGCTGTCGTAGTCGGCGCGGTGCTTGTCCTCCACCGGCACCACGGTGAAGTGCGGCATGGCTGCCGGGGCTCCCCGCGGCACGGCGGCCAGGCAGGCGGGACGCGGCGCGGAGCCGGCGGCGCATTCCTGCCCCGTGCGGTCACTTCCTCTCAGGAAACCGCGCTCCTCAACTCCACCCATTCCCCTCCGAAGCGCCGGGGCGGCGAGGAGAAGCGAGGCGAGGAGAGGCGAAGCGAAGCGAGGCGGAGCGGCGGCCGCCGCCCCCGGGGCCGGCGGGAGGGCCGGGGCCGCCCCGCAGCGAGGGCTGGGCGCGGAGGAGGGGCCGGGGGCGGCGCGGAGGAGGGAGAGGAGGACGAGGAGGAAGAGGAGGAGGAGGAGGAAGAAGATGAAGAAGGGGGTGTCCTGACAGGAGCCGGGCCCTGAGGGCGGCGGGGCGCGGTGTGGGCTCGGCACCGGGGGGGTTTCACCGCCCACCCCCCCCCGGCCTGGCCGCCATTTGCTGGGCGGGAGCCATGAGGGGAGGGCGGCGGCTGGCCCGGGGGGGCGGCTGGGGTGGAAGCCCCGGTCCTCAACCCATCGGCAGCGGCTTAATTAAAGGCATCGACTTAATTAGAAGCACATCGAGAGCCTTTACAGGAGCTGTCGTCCAGCACGGATGCGGCAGCTGTCCCTGTCCCCGCTTCCTGTGCTGGGGGTGGCAGCGGGGTGGTTCCTGGGCTTGCCCCTCTCCGCCTCGCTCCGTGCTCTGGCTGTGAAGCGCTCGGAAATAACGAGGCAAGCCCGAGGGAGACGGGAAGCATGACTGCACAAAAGGGGCTGGAGGGGCCGAGCAGCGAAATACTCCCCTTGGGAGAGCTGTACGCCAGCTAGACCCAGCGTATTTCCAGCCACATGCAAAGCAGACAGTTGCTAAGGCAGCAGACTGCCGGGGCAGATGAAGTGTGGCCCCGCTGCTGAAACAGGGCCTGGGAGCCAGGGCTGCCCCATTGTTATGTCCCACTCTTGGGGGCAGTGGGGTCTGACAGCCCCCCGGCAGCCCCGCCGGACGCCTGGGTGGCGGCAGGGGCTGTAAAGCCCTGGGCACGCCTGCCCCTCAACCCCTCATCCCTCAGGGAGCACAATTCAATTTGGCCTTCACATTTGAAAGAGCACTGGCGCCAGGGCTGGGTATCTTGGCCTTCGTTTTGCATAGGGCAGCCTTCGCGTGGCGTTTAAAGATGAATTAATAGTTGATAATGCTATTTATTGTCTGCATTTGAGAGCTAGCCTTGAAAGTAAAAGGATCCCTTCTTAATGCGTTATGTAATCACTGGAGGAAAAAAGCTCTAGAGAACAGTTCATGCATTTTTCTCTGGGCTATCAACTCAAACTAATTCTGTAGATTTTTGATTAGCAATAAGCCTTATTCAAGAAATCTGTGTACAGTGACAAGTCAGTCCAGTGCTGATGGAAGTTTTGTTCTCAGAATGTATGGGAGTCTCTGGGAGGTTATAAACCCTAGAGCAGAGGAAGAGGATAAGACTATTTCAGCATTTCCTGTACTCAAAAGACCCTTATCTCTAGCTTTTGGAATTTGTCCTGCCTTTTTCACAAAGCAACCCCCAGGTCACCTGGGGAAAGAAAAATGTGTAATGAGCAAGAGAGAAACAACTAAGAGAGAAAGTGCCTTGTTCACAACTAATAGGTCTACTCTCAATTAGGTGGGGTTTGAAGTAAACAAGGAGGATCTGTGCTGTGGAGTGACTGCTGCCAAGAGGTTACAGGTCTCTCAGTTCACTTAGACCACCTCTGGGGAAAGCCAGAACAATTACACCTCCTAGCATTGATCAGACAGGTGGAAAGACTTCTAAGACTTCTGTGTTTTTTCATATAACCTACATTTTACTGGTGTCTTTTTGCTCAGTTAAGAAAGACAACAATGTATCTTCATTTAACTATGTATATCAGTAAAAGCCCTGATAGTTTTGGGGGAGAAACAAAACATTTTCTTCTATTCAAAACTCATGATTATCTCTGTGATCAAGGGTGAGATTCTTTTTTTCCAGTAGCCCTAAAATTAGTACCTCTGTGTATGATCGCACTGAGGTCTGTGAAGTTTACTAGCAATTTCTGTGGGTAGGCAAGGTAGACCAATTTTGAGAATTTAGAAAGCATTTCTGTTGATGTTAGAAGCATTACCACTGACAGGCTGGAAACACACTGGTGTGCCACTTAGTCCACTGTCTTATTTCCAGCAATATTTTTTCTCTCACAGGAACGCAGAACAATTGACCATATAGTAACATTTTCTGTTTAACACCCTGAGGCTGAATTATGTCTCATTAGTGCTTGTAAGTACAATATAATAATCTAGAGTCCACCAAGAAAACAGGTGGAAAAATTATTACTTGATAGGGAACAGAGAAATTTATATAGATAAGCAAGATGAGAACTTACCATTAAGCAACTTAGTTCATGCTGAGTCTTCTGTCTTCTTTCCTGTTTTTGACTTTCTAAAGCTTTTGAGTGAAAGGCTCCGGTCTTAGTAAACTGCTCTAGAAAAAGGAGACAGGGATTATAAGAAGCATGCCTGAAGAGTTAAGGTTTTTGCAGTCATGTTTATTCAGGAGGAAGAATTAAACCGGGCACTTCTTCTCATCTTGCATGTGAAAGCAGGTTTGGCAAGAAGCTGTCTGTCTTTGGGTACCAAAATGCATTCTGGCCACTACAGATTAGTTTAGTATCATGAAATCAATAGAACTGAAATTGTACCCCATGAGGAAAAAAAAATCAAGCTTCTCCACATATACTGGCAACTCCCCTCTCTGGAATGGAAACTGTATCCAAATGTCTTAGGAGATAATTTGGCCCTAGGAAACTATTCAACTTTATTGAAGCAAAATATTTCTTTTGTCTAAAGACAATGACTCTTCTGGCTTGTAGATGGTCCATATTTAAAGATAAGAAGTTATCTGTCCATATCAACTTCAGTTTTTAGTATTTGGGTTGCAAGAGAAAAATTTCAAGCTGGATAATCGACTTTTTTTTTTCTGAGTATGAATACTGATTGTTACTTCTAAATAGTATGAGTAGCCATCAAAAGCTTAAGAGCAAACATGAACTGGAATGAAACAAAGTAATCTAGAATTCTACAGCATTTACATGAGACAATGTTGTTATCTCTCATTAAATAACGGATGAAAATTACCTGCTTGCAACAAAGCTAAATAGAATTTGGGATTACAGTTTTGGATACACACTGGTCAGTGAAAACAAACCAAAAAAAGAGCAGAGAGAATAATATTAATTTCCCTTCTCTCAATGAAACAGAAAAATTGCTCTGCTGAAAAACAGTCTGGTGGTTTCACTGTGAAAAATGTTGAGACTGGCACAGCAGAATCAAGTCTCATTAGGTAAGAAAAGGCCTGAATTTTGGTACTCTAGTTAACAGCATCAGTGAAGTCAGCAGCCTTAAGATCAGCAACTCCATGATCATTTCCTCTGTGACAAACCATCAAGAACTGCTTTTTGAAATCTACAAATAATCTACAAATTATATAATCTACAAATTATATAAGCAGAGACACTATATAGTTCCTATTTACTATGTCACCGTGTAATCATGAACTACTTCAAGAAGGTATAAGCTTCCAGCTGAAAGGTCACTATGCTTTCACAATAAAAACTGTTATTCAACTCAGAAAAAAGCTGTATGAGAAACTCTGAGTCTTCTGGAAGGGTAGTTTAGTAAACTGCTGAAGACCCTGCTATAAATCCTCAGGGCTGGCAAGCAAGATACCTTGAACACCTTTTATTACAGGTGATACCACTCAAGTATTAAAGAAAAAGGAAAAAGGAAAAAAAAAAATGGCAGTCAGCTTGGCCTTTACGGCCCAGCATGAGATAGTGGCTGCACACCATGCTGGCAGTTGACTTACAAGTGTTTTATCCTGTCCCTGCCACACGACAATTCACAGGTTCTGGTGTGGTGCTCCTATAGTCATCCTAGGAAAAAATGAACACAGAATTAATATCAGCTGAAAATATTACAGACAGTACCAAATAGCCTGACTTACTCCTCACAAGGGGATGTAGTACATGCATTGGAAGGCCCTTATAAATGAGTTCCAGAGTATTGTTAGCTTACAGACTTTGAATATGTGATGTTAACTTCAATTAAACAACAAAACTTAACACTGTTTTGTCTCCTTGTCAATGAAAGTGGTTTGCAATTTGTTTAAGGATAAGAAGACCCAGCATTTGAAACTACGTTTGAGGACAACTTTTCTTTTCTTCTCTTTTTCCTGAATTTAATGGGGAAATGCCTAATTAAAATACATACATAAATAAATGTTTCTAGCTAGGAAACTCAAGGCCAAGTGAAAATTATCGTCATATAAAAAGAATGTGGCATGCAATTACAATTCAGATGATGAAAATTTTTTAAATTCATCTGTAAAACTGTATTACTTCTAACATTGTTCAGATTGCTTTGTAGCAATGTGATATCACAGAAAGCTTTGTAGAAAGTTTAAATGAACTTTCTCTAAATGAAGCTTTGAAATGCCTCATTGATACAGCAACCTGCCTGATTATTGACATTGCTGTTGAGTCTTGTTTGTGTCCCCAGGCTGAACACACAGCCTGCTAGAGCTTCATGCGCAGAATGCACTGGCCTAGAACCTGAGAGAGAACATCCATAACTGCGTTATCCAAAATACCTAAAACTCCTTGAGTAGAGTACCTGCATTGGGATGTTTTAAATAACAACCATACTGTATCCCTGTTAATACAGACCAGTGTAGTGCATCCCTCTTCTTTGTCAGTGGGACAAGCTCTGAACCTATATTTGGAACTACAGGAAATTTCTAAACCATATGTCATGAAAAGTATTTCTGAGATACCCTAGATCATTGAGATAGTAGCTGGATAGCGGCCCAGAAAAAATATATTCCAGCTAGAACAGAAATAGGGTTTTCGTTAGAGGACACAATTGCAGATCTGTACACAGCACAGATCTAACAATTATAAAAATAAACAAACAACAATTTGGATAACTGAAGTCCTGCTCAGATTATCTCCCATACAGCTAGGGCACAAAGCCCTGACACCCGGAAGAATTAAATACTTGCAGGTTTTAAAGCCAATGACTTTTTAAAAAGACAAATACGGATATTTAAATCTTGGAAACGCTGCTCCACTACAAGCTAGAAGTATCCTACTGGGGCTATGATGGTGTTTGCTCCAAGGAATTTGAACAGTTATTGAGGGAATCCAGATGCTCCCCTTCCTGTTGGGCTGAAATACGCACAGTGGGTCCATAACTATTATTTACTGTTTAAAAGGATTTTTTCCCACTTAAGTGGAACTTGGGTGACAAGTAGCCCAGAGCTGACCATCAGAAAAACTAGCAAAACAAAAAACATGCCACTGCCAAGGTACAGCTTCCCCCAACAAAAGGCTTGGCAGAAGTCCTGCAAGTTCATGGCCAGGATTTCACCCCTGTGAACTTCCATTTTCAGCACATTCCTGTTCCTCCACATCCGAGGATCAAACCAGCTTTATGAACAAAACAGGCCGGAAACTGGCAACCTGGCTGCAAAGGTTTCTCCCCAACAAAGACTGGCATCTAGTTCGTCCTCGACAAAGATGAGCAGTGACTGCAAGAGGCCCTTTGGAGAGGACCACAATATGTACATCCATGTGTGAAGAACTGGGGACACAGGAGTAAGAGCTCATGCGAGATGCAACGTACAATCCTCTGCATGCCATTTCCAGGAGGAAGAAAAGGCAAGAAAAGGTCACTTTATATTTATACAAGAGTTGGTGTGTTAACTGCAGCTGAAAATTTTGCTGTTCTCCTAGAAAATACACCACAGCTTAGGCATTAAAAGACCACCAGAGGACACTATGGTGCCACTTACATTCAAAAATTATTTACTTTAAGAAACTTCTCACGTTTTAAAGTTACTCATAACTGTATTTGGTGCATCAAATAGACATTTTCTACAAAGATGCATTAAACTCATCTTTAGACAGTGAAAAATCACCAACTTGTTTTCTTTTTCCCCTCAAATTCAGGTTCTGTACATTCAAATAAGAAGAGATGGATCAATTTTTTCTCTACTAAAACTGCTAAATATTGCAGTAATTTTCAGGGTAGGGTTAAGATGCTGGAAAAATACTGTTCAGGGTTTGTTGCATTTTTTTCCTTTTTTTTTTTTTTTTTTAATGAGCATTTTTCAGTTCAGTTACATTTTTAGCATGGATAGATTTGTTGTGATCTATTTCTTTTTAATAAAAGGCTCAAAGAAGAAACTGAGCACAGGCTTACCTAAGATTCTTTAGATGTTCTGAGTTTATCTACAGGAGGATACTCAGGAAAATTAATCCAAATGGGCTTTTCAAACCTGTATTAAACTTTTTTTTCAAAAATTTTTATTCATACTAAAGGCACCTTCATTTGCTTTGTCTGGCAAAACTTGCCTTAACTTCAGTTTTAATCTTAGCTATTTTAAAACCTATTTTGTTTCTCAGAAAAACCCATGGGGGAACTTGAATTCATGCTTTCTTGGCACTGTTTTTCTTTCATTGCACTTTGGACTCCATGGGTGAAAGACATGCTTTATAAAAATACTGAGACCAGATGCAGAGAAAGAATTTCAGAGAAAACTACTTACCCATTAGAGGGGTGAGGATTAGCCCAGTGAAGGTTACAAAGCAACCTGGGGAGAATCAACAGAAACAGAGCAAAATCAAGCATCTTCTCACTTGGTTCTGGTCGTCAAGGCCTTTCTTATAAACAGCAACATTTATGTGATGTAAGCTAAACGAGGAACTTCATGTAGCAACTTTTACAACTTTTACAACAGATTTTTCATGACAGGAGCTGCTGAGCCAAGTCTAAGATCTTCTCTAGGGTCACAGTTTTAAGGATATGATGCATGCCATAAGGGTTGTTTGTTGATTTTGCTTTGAATTAAAAAAAAAATCATAAGTGGCAATAATTTCTCAAACAGCATAAACACTGGGGAAAGAATTGGCGCCTTTGCAATTTGAGTGCTAGGAAGTGAAACAGTCTGTGAGCAGCTCTCATCTGTAATGCTAGACCAAGAGACTGAGAGATTTTAGCTGTCACCAGAGATTCTGACACCTATGAAATACAGAACTGAAACAAAAATGCTTCCTTTTTTTCCACAGAATTTTGTTTTTCCTCTGATATAAATTATATAATCAACTTATAAATAAATATGATGGTTAATAAAAGATTTTACTTTCATCTGGTTTAAAAAAAAAGAAAAAAAAGGAAAAAAATGGAAAAAAAGGCAAATTAAAGGAACACCAAACACCCACCACCACCTCATGGTGTCCTGTGTAGTTGTTAGGCTTGTAAGTAATCTATTAAGTTAAAAAATAAAACCAGATTAAAGAATATATACAGTTTTTAAAATACTGACTCAAGCCTTCCAAAATGACCCAAGAAACATTATCCCATGTCAGTCTATCCTGAACGCAGCTCTGGAAATCCACTAACATACCTTTCTGGGTCTGTGAATTAAATCCAACAAATCTAAAGAGCAAATTTGAAAGCCACTTTGTTTTGTTTTGTTTTGTTTTGGGTGGGGGTGTTATGTGCATGTTTGTAGATTAGATGTTTTTCGTTTTCAGAATCTGAAGTAAGTTGATCATTTCCATATGTGTAAATCCAGGTAAGGACAAACAGACAAACTGCTGCTTCCAATAGCAAACATAGGGAAAAAAAAAAGAAAAAAGAAAAAAAAAGAAAACAATCCTCAGTTGCTGCAGTCTTGCTCTGCTTTTCTGCTTCTCCTCTCCTCTAACACTGAACATGGGGAACCCTGAGAGAGCTGATCAGCAGAAAATCTATCACTTGAGGGAGGAAAACAGAGGAAAACAGTTTTCAGCTAGATCAGCCCCCTAAAACTGCTTACTATGTAGTTACACAAGCACCAGTGTTGCCACAAGGGACAGGGGAGATAACATGCAGACCAGAGGCAGTGTAGCACTGAACCAGTCAAAGCTGACACTGGCATGAACTGCTATAGCATCGCGGCACAGCACCTTACTCCAGAAGATGACTGAGATGTAATGATGCCCAGCTCTTCAAAGTTGACTCTGTGGTGCAGATGGCCACTCAACTTTAAAGTCAAACAGAAGTTAATGGACTTAATATAGGTGGCCTGAGTAAATGTATGAAGTTTACTGACCTTGAAACATAGAAATATGCTGACATATTGCTTGAGCAGCTCAATGATATGTAAGAGGGAATGCACATGTGGAGCACTGATCAACTTCAGTACTGCATATCCAATGTAAAACTTGTGAAAGTCCTTTCATGGCCCATAAAAGTCACCCACTGAGTGAGAGTTAGATGCATGAACTGAAGTACTCCGATCTTAACTAACAGATCAACTCTACGTGTAAAAACAGCAACAGGTTTTTTAGGCCTCATTTCTAGCATTACCACATACCCAGATGAGACAAATGAGAATTGCAGTTATTTATTTCTGTGGATGCTACAGCCCATTAGTCTAAAAAGGGACTTGGGAAAGGGTGCTGGCACAAACCCTTTAGAATCAAATCAATAATCTGCATTATTTTGTCTGGAGTTTTTGGCTGTGCATATATCGCATGTGAAAGCACAAGCCTTGGATTTTTAAAGAAGTCCTGAAGTTTGGCTCTTATTTACAACACCAGCCTAAGGTACCTTGTAGTATATAAATTTTGATACTTACAGAAATAGTAATAGCTGTTTTCAGAATTCACATTAGCATAACTCATTATTTAGAAAAGGTAAACAATGAATCCTTCATTTGGCAACCAACAAAGTCTATTACAAAGTTGCTATCTTAATTATATCTGATATTTCAGTAATACCACCAGCTGTAACAGAATCAGTCAGTTTAGCTATCATACATTGCAAATTACCAGTGAAAATTGCTCTTATTAATCAGTGTAGGGCAAAGGCATTCAGTTTCTTGATGAATCATCCTATTCATTGGGAGACAAAAATCAGAGTGCAATCATTTTATGCTTGAGCTGTTGGAAATGCAGTGTTGTGACTGCTTCTACAAGCTGCTGTCAATGGGACCAGAGACACTAGCACTCAGACTAAAGGGACACTACAGTTTTTCAGACAGCAATCACAGTCATATCTTGACATGATTTCACTTTTGAAATGCACTTTTATTGAGGTGCCTTTCTAACGTGTTTCAGTTCACATCGTTATGATTTTAATTGTTTAAGAAAAATAAATTGACCACATCTATTAGATAAGCTAAATAGCACATGTGTAATCACTGCAAGATACCTAAGATTCCATTTCTTGCTTGATGATTTTGCACTTTCATGTTGGTCTCACACAAACAGCTTATTTGAAATTTTGTCAATTAACATTGTAATGAGTAATGGAAATGGGGACTTCAGATCATTGCACATCTTTGAGAAATGTTGTGAAGCAGAAGTTAGCCTACCTTGGTGCAGACAATCTGTCTAGTTCCCCATAAGCCTTGTTGTCTACAACTTGACTTGCTTGACCAAGTGATTTGCTACAGGAAACACTGTCATCATGGACTTGCTGCAATGACTTTGAGTTATCCTCCTTCTGTCTTCCTAAGTACCTGCTCAGACTTCTCTCCAGGTTAGGCTGCATTTGAACAAAGATGAAGCTGACTGCCTACATCTGGGATGCTTCAGGGCTGAACCTACCTGACTTCCTCCTGCCTATCATGGGAGAGCTATCTTCCAGTGCGGAGCACACCTCAGAGGCCTCATAATACCGTGGCCTTCCTTTGCAGCAAAGTTGTATGGTTATTTCAGGGTTTCCTGCAGTTATGAACATTACATTGTTTTGTGAGATTACACCAGTATCTAGACATTTTTAATCAATATTTTATTTAAATTTCATGTATATGTTTTGCCACAAAATTACAAATTACACATTACACAAAGCAATCCAGAAAAAGTGCAATACACTACAAATAAAACAAGGAAGTAAACTACAAATATCTATAGCATACTAAAATAGAGTGATGTAAAAATATTATCCATATCTTAAAGAAGAGGAATGTATATTAAATCCATGCTACGATATCAAAGGAAAGTACAAATTAGGCAGGTATGTGGCGTGGCAACACACTACAAATTATAAGGCTGAAAGGAATAAAGAAGCATCTTACATTTTAAATATGCATTAAACTTAATATAACGGTACTAATTTTGTGAAAAGAGACCATGGATGGCAGTTTTCTAACAGCTTATGAAACTATTAGCAGAAGAACTGATGAGAAGTAAACTGATGATAAGAAGTAAATATCTGCAAATATCTATTCCATTCTTCATTTTACCAGTATCGTGCACTTACAAAACAAGTTCTGATGCCAGTTAGGCAGTATCAGGAAGGCAAGAGAAGTGCTGTAATTCTCCATTGTATCTCTATAACTGGGCTCAATATTTGTTGAGAAACTGCTTTTAAAAACTTGGCTTGTATGCACTAGAATATTCAACATGGCTTATAGCCTATTAAGAATACGCTCATCAAGGTGACCACCTTCTCAGAAGAGCTAATGAAGCTTCATTTTGAAGCAATAAAAGGAACTGTCTTCCTCCAGAAACCCAACTTGCAGACGAAAAGCAGGAATGGATGGCAGGAACAATCTCAGGTGACTCTGGAGAACAACTGACTTGTTGTTTCCATTCTGTTTCTGCTTGGCATTATCTTTCAGTTGCTAAATAACTTGTGTGTTAGAATACAGGACTTTAATTTATATTAAGGTTATATTATGCACATGTTCCATCAGTAAATAAAAACATGTATCACAAGATAAATTAACAAGTATCATGAGATGGTATTTACAAGCAAGAGGTGGGAAATGACCCTACAGAGATTTAGTGCTGCCATCTTATAATTTCATGATGAATCTCAGACTATTTGATTAAAATTCCAGCTTTGAGCCTTGAGAACCTGCCAAGAATAGGCCTTTTGCAATATATTCTCTTCTGTAAAACAGGAGTTGCTAACCTCACATACCTTGTGGACTTGAAAACAAGTTCCAAAGATTTCTTTCTAATCTCATGGTTTTTAATCATTTGATGATGGTCTGATTTTAGCATGGATAAAATTACATGCAGCAAACAGCAGTTCCCAAATTACACAAGAATATCTACAGCACTATCTGGACATCTGTTCCTTTATTTTGCTGACACCTGAATATAAGACACCTACCTTCTCCCTTCATAAACTCTCCAGTTGCCCATTGTCCTGGTCAAGGTTCAAAAATAAGAGTTTAGTATTGCAAAACGGATGCCTAGAGCTAGTGGCAGGCATGAGAAATGAATTCAAATAGTCATATCATCCAGTTTGTTGTCTAGAACACATACACACACACACAAACACACACAACCATTACTCTACACATACCAGAGTGGAGGTGTCTTCTCTGACCAAGCCACTGACTGATGATGAAAGCTGCATCATGTGAAAAGAAGTAATATCTGAAAACATCCCACTACAGATGTCTTAATGTCTTAGTCACATTCTCTCGTTCCTGTGTAGATCTGCTGATTCTGGACCCTGGTATTTACATCAACTGCCACAACATGGGTACCAAAAACACATGTCATGTATTAGAGGATTTATTCATTAACTGTGAATACTTTCCATTTACAGTGCTGGTCCTGACTTGGCCGAGATGACAAAGAATTTACCACTTCAAAACCTAAATGCTTTTGCCACAAGACTTAAAGTCTACATTAACTTTCAAGTATGTGGGTGAAAGTATAGAACTTATATAAAATATTTTAGCAGAGCTCTACATTAACAACCCCAAAAAAAGATACTAGTGGTATTGCAGGTTACTCAATCTCTCTCTCTCCAGGATCCATAAACTTTATGATTCATAATACAGTATTAAATATGGTACAATTACAAGCGTCAGACTAAAAGACTGTGCCACAGAAGAAAATCCAAAAGAACTGATTGTCTCAATCCGATAATTATGTAGGTCTAGGCGACAGGAATTTTGTACTTCTTTGTGCAGGATTTCACTCTCGCCTACATCCATTAGTCCACTGGAGTTCCGCACCTAGAAAAATGCAAAAGGTTGCACCTGAAAGCAAGACTGGCATAACAGCAAAAAGCTTTATGTAGCTGGTAAATTCAATGCCGTGTCAAGTGAGCAGAGTCAAACTGTATTGCAAAAAAACACAACTGAACTTGGGGAAAGCAACACCATTATCCTCATGTTTGCATTCCAGTGAAGTTTTTCCCAGAATTAGTTACAGATAAATTATAGCACAAGTCACAGGCTGTTCTTTGTCTCAGCTCCTGCTACGTTTGAATGCATTAACTGGAAAACCTTTAAAAAAAAAACAACTCATGAGCATTCTTCCCTGAAGTCAGTTCACAATCTTAAGACAGAGCTCAAACCTCTCTAATTTAGAAGAAAGATAATTACTAAATCTCACAGATTGATTAGTTGTGATGAATGTCAGCTTCTTTATAATGTCAGTAGTCTGCCATGTGTGCAACTCAGCATTAGGCAGATATGTTGGCAGAATGACTGAAACAAAAATTCCCAATTTCTATTCCTCTAACATATCCTAAAAAGGCAACTGGAAACATATATGACCTATATACATATGTTGCCTATAAGGTTCTGTTTAGGGTATCCTTACTGTCATACAGTCTCTCTTCATCCCTCCTCTCCACTCTCATCCTTCTCCACTACTTTCTGTCATTCACACGTAAAGTTTGTTGCAATCTAGATGTTATGTTTACAATTTGTTAGTGTTCTAGTCATGGCAAGAGCCCTTTGGATAGGAGCCTGATCCCATGACAAGAATTCAATGGATTTGCAGCAGTCAGCATTCCTTACTGCACCAGCGAACACAGCTGGAGCAAGGGCTGTGACGCTGGAATATCCGCAGCTTATCTAAACCGTGAAGTGATTCCATTTAGAAGTCAACGATGTGTATTTATCAGATTACTGTGGAGAGAAAAAAAAGCAACACAGAGTTCTGTCCACTCTCTCTCACTTTCTTTTATTTTGCTAATATTCCTTTGACATCTTTGTTTCTTTCCTGGCATTTGGAATTAATGCATTAAGTGCTTAAGCTCCCTCATAGCTCTCTCATTGCGCATAAAAAAGCAAGGCACCAGCAGTTTCTTTCTCCCCTTTAGTAAGAATCAAGATTCAGTTTAGTTTTTAATCTTACCTTTTCCACTTCCCTGAAGACACGCAGGAAGTTCTCCCTTAAGACCGCTTTTAGTTCAGTTTCGCTCCATCCTCTTCTAAGAAGTTCCTCAATCAAATAAGGGTATTTAGAAACGTCTTCCAGTCCCTCAGGGAAACTGTTGGCAAGAGTCACACAAGAACATTCAGCACAGGTCACTCACTGAAAATATGCAGAAAAAGATTTATTATTTTTTTTTAATCAGTCTTTTGCACACATTCTCTTTTAGAATGAGCTCATTTGGGACCCACTTCTTCCTCTGAGAAGTCAAAAAAATGATGAATCCAACTGACATAATCAGAAGGAATGGGACACAATGCTTTTTCTGCACAGAGTATCTCATTAGCAAAACTAAACTACGTATGAAGACGCACTTACATGCAGGAAGGACAACAGCATGGAGCAAACAAACCAAAAAAAAAAAAAAAAAAGAGGAAGTGAAGATTCAGAATAAATAAAAATCAAAAAAGGCTAAGGGTTATACCAGTAAATGCCACCCAATAACACAATATGCATTTATTTTCTGTGCTGTAATGTAACATTTGCCCAGGACTGAACAGGAGAGTTTATTTTGTAGGCTGTTCCATGATCTGCTTTCCTCAAACATATGCCAAGGATAGCTGTCCAAGCCCAGAAAGCAGGAGTGGTTTCACAGCCCCAAAGCACTTCGGGCTTTCCCCACTAGAAAGTAACAGCAGAGGAAAGAGTTTTACAGCAGTCCTGGGCTAACACATTTACCATCTGAAGGATGAAGCAGCTTTACTGTAATTCATCATTGGTTTCTGGAAGAAGGTACCCTCCATCATCATTTTTGTATGCAGAAACCACTGCCTAGAGACACATTTGCAGAGCTCACAGGATGTTGGGACTAGTTTCCACATTTAGAGCACTCCATCACAGAGTTCTAAAAATGAATTATGCCATTCTTTCCCAAAGCCTGTTTTAGAGCGCTCATCACAAAACAACTTGCTACAACTCTCTTGGTCTGCCTTCTTCTGCTCCAAAGAATGTCAAACCCCTTACAACCTAGGGGTCAAAAGTCAATGTATATATGATGTTACCAACCGTTCCACTCCATCGTAGTCACCACCAATTCCTATCGATTCTGGACCTGCAATTTTCTTTATGTAGTCAAAATGATCTAAAAGAAAATATCAAAGAAGGCAACATCTAAGCATATGACAAGTAGGAATAATCCAGTTCAGACATATTGGTTCCAGGCTACTGTTCTCAATCATGGATTCATAATAAAATATATATTTTTTTAAATAAGTCAAAAGGCATCCTGATAATATAGGTTAAATTTTAATAATCCAATTGATGGATTCAGGATAATTACAGGTGGTTATCTGGATATTTTCTTCCACTGAGTGCATCAGGTAGCAATCTTCAAAAAAGACATGATCATTACAGCACGTTAATTTCCAACAAATAACCCACATATGCCAAGAGAATTTTCTTTACCATTAAATAGCAATGTTTTGCACTCTTAATTAGAAAAGTTTAAGGTGTTTTCTAGAAAGGAACAAATACTTTGGGATTAATTGTTCTTTATTTCAGTGCATCAGTTCCTCAAACTATGCACTTTGTCCTCTTGTTATTGTGTAATGAATATCACCTCCAAAATGACTCAGAGCTGGGTTAATGTGGAGAAGGAAATAAGCAAGTAGTATAATTTACACAGTCTGAAAAATGATGCAGACAACAGGAAATTCTTAGAAGCCACCCACAAAAATCAGAATATATTAACTTCAAACCTGCGAGGGTAGAAATATTAACAACTTCTCTGCCACAGGCCAGTACATCTGCATTGAAAGTTACCATGATAATTCCCCTGTTCCTTTTCTGAAAGATAGGAAGAGACAAGTGATGAGCGTGCCCTGCAAACTTCTTAGTTACCTTATATAGATCGTTCCCTATCCATATTCCAGTGAACACAACAACACTATATGTCAAAGTTTAGATGGCAACACAAGGCTTTGCCTTTATGCTTTACCCTGAATTCATTACATCCTCATGTGGCCTGGATCAGCAGAAGCCCAGTAGCTACATCAAGGAAATTCAACCAGAATTCCAAAATGTTTGTAGCCAAAGACAAAACACAACCAAAAGAAAATATCTCAGAAGTGATCATGTAACTTGCTGCTCAGGGATCTGCTTATAAATCCAATTCAGAGATGAGAGAATCAAAAGTAAACACTCTGATATGCATGCAAAAATTTGCTTCAGACTAGCAAGTTTTTAAACAACACTCACCAGTTGCTGGAGGATATCATCAGGAACATTTCTCGAATGATTACAAACAGAAAATGCAGCAGAATGGCTGAAAATTACTGGTGCTTTTGAGATATGTAGTGCATCTTTTGCTGTGGAATCTGAGGTATGAGATAAATCTATCAGCATACCCAGGCGATTCATTTCCTTTACCACTTCCTAAAACAGATTTACAGACAACAGTGTCAGTATTACATTTCCTTAAAGGAAACTGTTTAGCTGATGTATGTAAGCAGATAAATAAATTCTGCAGCTGTCAGCTAGTTATAATCACGCTGTGTCTTTATGGATTTCTATTTACCTATTATATTAATAGTGATTTATTCACTCACAATTAGTTAGCATACCATCACATGCTCAAACTTTTGAAATCTTTGTTCTTTGAAAATCTTTGAAAAAAGATAAGGTCAGAAGTTGTTAGTTGCATAAGAGATTGCTTAGATTATCACTCAAAAAGAGATCCTTACTTGGCCAAAAGCAGTCAGACCAGTAACACTAGGATAAAAGTTGTGTATTCCTTTAGATGAAGATTCAGACCTTAAAAAGGGAAGTGAAAGAAGAAACATCATATCATTCTGGAGACTACAATATCAGCACCTGAAATGTCTTATGCTATACACAATAAAAGTCTTATCACTTAGCCAAATTTAGGGATAATGAACTGCATGATAAGGATCTTGTTCAAACAGTGCTCTGTATAATCATAACTATTTTCTGGATCATATGTCTTCAGGTTTAAGACTGCTGCATATTTGTGAAGCAATGCAAGACAAGCAAAGAGACACTTGTCAAAAATTTTCCAATTAAACAAACCTTCATCAGAAAACAAAGATAAACTGAAATGTCCTTTATCTGTCAGACAGAAAGCCAGATTTTCAGTCCTTTCTGCATACAATTCTATTTTGCCTTAGTCAATACAAAGGAAGTTTGTAAATCCAACAAAGAGTAGGTGCTACCACTCTGAGAGTGGAACCGAGTACTCATCTCTGTAGCCACACATTGGACCTGTCCTGAGCTGGCCAGAGAGGACAGTGTTAAAGGCTTCTGACTGCCAAGTTCTTAGATAGCATTTACCATCTTTGAACCACATCATTGCATCTTCTTTTGTTTGTTGTTGCCTATTTTGACCTATGCAGCCTCTCTAGTAAAGCAAAGTGGGAGGCAATTTTCCAATCTTGCTGTTGCTAACAAAGTTTAAAAGTTCCCAAACTGTCAGTGTAACAAGCACTACGTAACAGATCCTTCAGTGTCCCAAGTGATTTACCCCCCAAACCTGTCACTGTTGACTTGGTTTGGAATGAGTACTGCACAGGTGAACTGTCTGAATCCATACTTTCCTCATCTTGGAATTGCCACCGCTTTGTATTACATGGTCACATAAACACAGGCACATTAGTTACCAAGGTGTATTGCAGGAATGTGTTAAGGTCATGTAACGAACGCCCAGGTCATAATACATCCTCAGTGTCGCCAAACTGCTGTCAATGGAGTGACCGCCTTCGATTCCAATCAAACATGCAATCTTCTTACTGTCAGAGATACCTGGAAACATGAAAGTACGATAACTCCAAAACAATTTCATGACAGATAAGAAGACAGCACCACTGAGCAACAACAGTTATTGCAAACTGCAAGCAGTACTACTGACATTTTTGTAAGACGGGAGGTGTGTTTATACAGCAAATTATCTCATGGCTGCAGCAGGCCATGGCTGTACAGTCAGATATTGTAGTGCAGTAGAAAAACTGAAGTTACTCTTTAAACCAGGATACTGTTTGCTTGCTTGCAGTTTTCTCTCTTTTGCATATACCTCCAGAAACCCCAGTAAAAATATTCTGTTACAAGAAAGTGTATCACCTTGGGAAGTCGTCACAAGTTCAAGTTCTTCATAGCTGTTACACATCCTCTTGACAACATCAATTTGCTCTAACGTCAGACGCACAGCATCCTTGTTCTGAGCGCTGCAAAGAACATACACTGACCAAAACTGAAAGAGACATTGACAAGTAAACTAGATAACTTCTGTTCCAACTTGGAAGCTGCAATTTGCTAATAGTGAAGTTTCCGAGTACTACCAAAATAATTTCCTACAGTTTACAAGGGAGTTGCCACTGCAGTTTCCCCCCCCCAAAGGAAGCATTATGCTCTTGCCTTAAATCATCTACTCCAGACATGATTAAGGCCTCTTGACACATTCAACTATTCCAGGCAGAAGTGCAGGCAGGAAAGCAGATGTATGTTTACTTTAATTCATTTATCACAAAACAACAACTGCTGTTTTGGTTAAGGGTACCTGGCTTATAAAACACAAATATTTGCAACACAAATGTCCTGGAAAAGTGTCTGTGGCTTTTCCGTTTCATTTTGTTTTTTATCTTTCAATAGCAAAAGCCAAAACCAAGGCCACTAATACCTCTGTGATTGGGAAGGGAGTGAGGCAAGTGTAAAATTGTATTCTCAGACAGTATCATTGCCGTGACAGTACGTACCTGAGCTCCCACATAACCAGCCTTAAGTTTTGCAAGGTTTGTATGGGTTTTGTTGATCTCTCTTAAGTTGACCTTGCTGAGTCTATTTTGGTAAAATATTCTCAGCCGTAGTACAAAGTCGTTGTGGCTAGAAGAGAAAACAAGTAAGGCTTGTGATAGAAATATGCTGTTACCTTCTAATACAAATGTCATTTCTTTAACTCTTCTTAGTCTCTCAGACAATTAACTGCCAATAATCTTTGCTGTAACATATACTTAAATGTCTCCTTCCTTTCACAAAAGATCTTTTTTTTCTTAAAGCTCCATCTAATCAGGACAGCAAGAATCCCTTTTGCTTTTCTCACTGTTATAGCTGTTGTGATTCTATATCTGTTTTTCTCCCTATTATTTCTGAAGGAATAGAAGAACTAAGATCATCCACCATGCTCCTTAGAAGCAAATACTCACAGTAGAACTATCAGTGCTGCCTGTGTTAGAAATAATCAGTGTTTCTCCTCCCAGGTCAAAACACATTCACCACAGGCAGCATTCCTTCAAGTTGCAAGGGTAACCTTTCAAAGCATGGTGTCTGGCTTCTAGCTCTGAAACAAGTCATGGCTGACAAAGATGCCATTAAATTAAGGGAAGGACACCATGTAAAGGGAAACAATAATTAAGTGGTGAAACCTGACCAGAAAATCACAAAGGCATTTAGAGTAACCTAGTCCTAGAGTATGCACCCAGTGAACTGAAATTCCTTCTTGCTGACAAATCTGTACAACGGTAACTAACTGCTATGTGCTAGGCACAGTCTGCTGTTCCTACTCATCCAAACACACTGTGGCATTTCCTCTTCACTTATCAAGATTCACTGAGAGGGTTTAATCAAACATATTTTATATACCCATCGATTAAACGCGTATCTTGCATCAGCTTGATAGCTTGCTCTCTCATTGATTTCTCATAGGTAAATGGCACAGAATCGGAGAGGAACATCAGCCATAGCAGCAACTTTGTTGGATTTCTCTTCATTTCCATTTTCAAGTTAGCTAAAGCAAAGAGATAACACAATTATTGGCTGAACATGATGAAACAGGTAAGTTTCCAGTCTGCAGACATTGTGGATTTAGTAATATAAGCAGAGGCAAAATGCCCTCTTTTCTGGTAAGGCTGGGGTGAGTTTTGTAGGAAGAAAGACCAATGAACAGAAGGGAAGGCAGCCATGGGAAGTGTAAGACTGCTACCTTTTCTGAAAGATCTGAAGACCTCTGGCTAGTGTGGTTTTGCACCTATAACTCCATAAACACTGCTGCTGCCACCAACTGACTGCTGAAGGGAACCATCTTATTCAGAGCTGGCAAGTTGAGGGACTCGCACCTCCCAAAATACTGCAACAAGATTGTTTTCTCCATTGGAACAGCTTTAACTTGTTTGTTCCCCTTACTGGGGAAACCTCAGGCTGAAATGAACACTGATACGTTTTTTGAGAAATTCCAAAAATCTTCTCCTTTCTGAGTAAACTCTTTATTGTTAAAAGACAGAGTATGTGCCAGAGAAAGCTATGGAAACCCTACACATTTTTCATATTTTAACAAGTACAGAATGTGCCAAATTTCAGAGTCACTTTATTTTAATGAGATCATAGGTATGACAACTTCAAGAGTAATCAATGTACCCCCTGTTCTTTTTTAAATATAGCACTCAAGCACTTATACAACAGCCTTCTATGTGTTGGACAAAAAGTATTTTACAAACAGGTTAGAATTACCTTCTGTTCTGTGTAAAGTAGTGTAAGATCTGCTAGGAGGTGAAAGTACCTTTGCAGGGAAGAGAGTTGTTTTTCCCCACATTCAGAGTTACTGGCAACATTACTTAAGAAGTTGAGAAGCAGTCACCTCCTTTGCTTATTTGAGTGACATCCTAATCTAGAGACACTTGCCCTATTAATTCTTTCGCGTCAAAGGATTTCAGCAAGTGGATATTGTTCAGCTCCTATTGTACAGCCAGTACTCAAGTTTTTCCAAAGGACAACAGAAGAAAAGTAATGTTGACTTTCCATTCATTGTCCACTGTAAGTCAGTGAAGTTCATGTTTATAAACCTTCTTCTGGCAGCAGAGAAGTGTTTTTGTTCTTACTGATTATGAAGGTTGTTTTTGTGAATTTCTTATTCCCAGAGGTAAAAACAAACAGCAAATATCCAAGATATGATAAAATTACAAGGCAAAAGAGATTTTGAAATCAGGGCACTAAGAAACAATACAGTAAAAAAAACATGTTCTTGAGATTCTTATGTTTCCAGGCTATACATTACACTGTTTTCCTGTCACCTGCAATACACAGAGTGTAAATCAAATAAAAGTTTAACTGGATTATTTGCCCTGCCTGTGCCCGAGAGAATGTAACTATGCTATAAAAGGAATTTTGATTTAATAAGCCAGTATAAGTTTAATTAAGTTGCATAATTTAAAAGTTTTAAAATGACAAGTCATTCATTTTGCACGTATTTTCTCTCTAAATCAGCATTATGTAAAAACTTCAAAAATAAAAGTAAGATCAAGAAATGATTGCTCACCTTGGGTTCAGCAAGGTGTAAACTGCTATTCTAAAAAGTCCCATAATTGAGAAAAATTCCTGAGGTTCCTCTTTGGAGAAACTGGCTCAGGACTTGTTCTGTTCCACAGGATTTGGGAAGGTACTCACTTGTGGGACCATCTGTCAGGAAGTGGTACTTCAGAACAGCGGGAGCATAAAAACTTAGGCAAAAGGCAGTGTAGAAGGGGAAGCTGGTTTAGAATCAATGCTGAAGTTGTCTAGGAAAGAAGCACTAGGACAGCTGAATAAACACAGTAGCATGTATGTAGGCAGAAGTGAAGATCCAGTATAAACATGACACAGGGTGAGCTGTGTTCCTAAGGTTAATAATAATAATAATAATAATAAAGTAATACCACCCACCCCTTAGTGTTTTTCCTGAGAAACCCATTACATAAGGAATGGCCCAGGCAGTACCTGTGATGTAAAAAGGTCTGTCTAACTCTGCACAGACAAGAATGCTCTAGAAACTGATTCATTCCTTTGAGGATGCTTAGCAGTCTTCATTCATCAACAAACATAGCAGAAGCATGATTGACTCCATCAAGTGTCTTCTCATGTACAAAACTTAAGAGGTTTTGGCTAGGCCCTTAGGACAATGTAGAAATCAATTTACATCATAGTCTGTGCATCTGGATTTTCTCATGGTAATGGTTTCCTTCAGGCCAAAGTACTTCCCCTAGCATCACGATGAGGAGCAGACCTCTTAAGACTGGGATGATCCTTTTGGGCTTCCCCTTGACAGAGCACAGCTGACTCCCTTGCAACACTTTGGTTTATCCAGGATTCATACCATACCTGATGGAAGAAGCTTTTTTTTCCTCTTATGCCTTCAGAATAACCAAGGGAAGTGTTCCTCCCACACTAACTGAGTAAAAGGGAGCTTTTCTACTTTTATTCATTGCCACAGATTAATGCTTGTATACAGGGAAAAAATACTGGAAAAGTAATTTTCTATCTTGTGTGTGTGTAACACAGCCTTTACAAGACAAGTATTTGAATTGCCATTGGCAACAACTATGCCGTGTTAGTTCTGAACAAGTTGACCTCTGTTTTTACTTTTACTAGAGGAAACTGAATATTTATGTATTTGGCCAAAAAATGAGGCAGTGCAAAGATACGTGGCCTTACACATTACATCTAGCAACAGGGAAATCCTTGTCCAGACTATGAGCCCTGCTGTGCTACTAGGACCTGCTGTTTGGTTTCTTTCTCATTTATTTTCAATAAAATCCATTTATGGAAGAGGGCAGTTTCCAAAAATAAAAGATAAACATGACCATAATGAAGTCTTGGATGCCTTTAAAACTGCAGTGGTTCTCTTAAGTTGACTTATGATAATTAAGCTGGTGCAGGAAGCTGGAAGGTGCCATGCAGTGAGGAGTTAAGGTAAAACAGGCCCTACAGCCTGCTGCTTTCCCTGACCAGGCTCCTCTTTCTGAGCCCTGGGGCAGGTAAAGCAAGCATAATTAGTTCCCTTGGGACAAACCCAAAGGCAGCCTCCTGATGCTGCCCCAGGGACTGAAATAGGGCCATATGTCTCTCCAGTTGTGAGTTCAGCACCACAGCTGAATCTCCCCCAGACCAGGGTCAGTCCAGAGAAACACATGTACCACTGCAAGGGGCAATGAGCACAGAGGAAATTTTCTGCTGACTTTCAGCTCCACTGTAGCTACTCAAAATACCACAGGCTTGCAACACACAGACACAAACGCTGGGGAACAGATAAGGAGGGTGGTGCAAAATGCAGCGTTATCTGTTCCTCCACATTACACTTCAGAGCTAAAACGCCTCGAGATCCCCATCTGCTTTTGCACCTCCCATTAAAAGCATAACTGCTTTCCATCCCCGCTATTCTTCTACATGCAGGGTAGGCACAGAAATTGGGGCATCAAGCTTAGAAAAGCCACCAGCACAAAGCCCAGAAGAAACTAAACAATGGTCCCAAAAGAGCTGGACTGGGCACAGAGTCTTTGCAGATGCTCGCTACAGAAATGAAGCTTTGCTACTTCCCTGTAGTTTGCTTTTACAATTGCTTTATATTCTCCAAGCTCTTTACAATCATCAAGGAAGTTACTATCAATAAAGCACGAGTGCTGAGAAAGCAGACTTTGCAGTGAGTGTTCCCACATCAGGGAGGACATCCCGTAACAGCGGGATGGCTAGATCTGCCTTATAAGGCTGTGACGAGGGGGGGGGTGGTTGCTCTTTTAAAATAGATGCATTTCAATGGCAAGTTTCACAGTAAAAAAGGAAAGCTTTACTGCATGCCTCTGTCATTTACCATCTTCGGAAGTTACAGGCAAGCGCTGCCTGGCCTCTCTTCTCCTTTTCAGCAGCAGGACAGACCTCAGTGCAGGACATTTAGTAAACAGCTGCTATTTAAGTGCAGCAAATCTCAGTCAGGAATGGCGTTCCTTTCACCCATTTGATGATTTTCCATCTTAATCTTTATTAAAACATTTAATGACAGCCTTGACATTAATACCGGAGTTCATTAAATTATTATGCCCGATCAAGTGTAAGAAGTGCCATAAAACAGGGCTCACAGCTCAAGGTAGTAACAGCCTAGAGATGAAGAAGACTCATGCCCTGCATGGCCCAGTTATGCTGGAGCTCATGTAGATAATACCAGGGTAGCTCTGAATTAACTACCTCAAATCATGGTAGCAGCTTCATTGCAGACAGCACAAACACCAAAAGATGACTGGGACCCTTGATGAAAACTTCCTTGCTGATTTCCAGCAAAAGCTTGTATTTTGCCTATCCCTGAAATAATAATTAAACATGATTAGCCATACGTAAATAGTGAGCATGCTTCTGGGAGAACACATGCATCAGACTGTGCAGTATGTTTTTTACAAAGGGTAGGGATCACTTTGAAATTCCTCTTGTCGTCAAGTCAGTCTTACAAATCTTTCCATATTTTTTCTTAAAAGTCCTTCCACTGTCAGCAGCTCAGAGCCACGTCAGGTTTAGCTGTTCATCTGCTCAGAAACCTCCTCAGTGCTGTCCCAGTGCAATGTTTACAATTTATGATTTCCACATGCTGTTCCTTTCCTCTTTGTGGAGGTACAGTGAAACGCCCCCAAGCACTGAGAGAACAGGGTGTTGTTTCACTTACTGCTCAAAAAAGGGGGAATAAATACTGTAATGGTTTGAATGCATGTCAGGTTCCCTAGGGAAGAGGAAGCAACAAGCAGGATAATACGTCCCAGACTTTCTGGGAAAGAGGAACCCTGTAGAGTAATTACAGTACTTATCAAGTCGTGCTTAGCTTTCAGCCTTGAACACGAATGCATCCTTGGACATTTCACATGCTACGCAGGTGAACTGCAGGTTTTTCAGAAGCAACATAACCTCAGTGTGCAAGACTTTTTTGCCCCTGAAGTACAGGAGATTGGTTGCTTTCTCCTTTAAAACAACTCTTTAACTAGTTTTTTTTATTAAAGATAAAAATGATGTTTTAACTAAAAAGATTGCTTCTAACTTCTCTCAAGAAAAGGACAACTACTTAAAGTCTTTCCTGGCAGGCTTCCGATCTTTATTTTACTGTTCTTTTTTCCTTTCCACAGTTTTCCAGACTTTCTGAAAAATTCCCGTTCTGAATCCAGTAATTCTGAAGCAAGCAAAGCTCTACAATGCTACACATCTTATTATCTAGTGATTAGTAATGCAGACTATTTTCTCAGAAATCCTAAATTACTGAAATTCTTCTAACTGCAGGACATATGTGCTTTATGATATAACTTCCTAAACGCATAACAACCCAGAACAGCCTCCCAACTACTTCTATAGCACTGTATCACAGCGCACATTTTCAGGCAAACCTTCCTTTAGTTTAAGAGTGCTGACTGACCTCAGAGGAAGGGTCAGCTGGAAGTGTTTCACCAAGAGAGTAGCCTGGTGACAGCTTCTCTGTTAACAGTCTCCCCTTGCTCGGATCCAACAATGCTGCTTTCGTAGAATGCAAAGCAGAACCCTCACATGTACTCGAGCAAACAGCTCCTCCAGGGTTTCCCTCTGCAGACACATTCCCAACTGTAAGCACTATAACAGGCTCCAAAGCTACAGAGAGCAGACTGCAGCTGAAAGGGATGGTTTGCCTCACAGTCATCCCCTCTGGGCCCTCTGCCTCATGCTCCTGCCCCTCGGTTAACCAGCGTCTCTGCCCCTGTGCTTCTCCATGCCAGGAGCAGTGTGAGCCAAGTCCCCTCCAGACTTCACTGCTGACTGAATCACTCTTTTTGGCAGGGTTTTGTCAAGATGTAAAATATTCCTAATATTTTTTAAATGTTTGGATCCAGCATTCAAAAAATAATGCTACAAAGTAGTGAGAGACATAAAGGCCAGGAGGACGAGCAGTAATGAGATTTAAAAACTGAGTTTGACCATAATGGATGTAAATGCTGGGGAAATACTGCTCTTGCAGGAGGTAATGACCTTGCTTCAGCACAAGAAAGCCTATCTGAATACTTGTGGTGCTGTGGAGTTTATCCTCACCACTGGCTAAGCAGCGCACTCGATTATGAACCTGCAGCAGAGATGATAATGGACAGTTTTTCAAAGGAGAGTGTTCTCAAACACACCACAAGTTCTTTTGTTGGGTTTTTTGTTTTGCCCACATTTTTTGAGCCTAAGAGAGCGCACACTTCTGTTATCGTCTGATGGTGACACATAAAGGAAAGATTTGGAGGAACAGCAATTACTGGAAACACAACTGTTGCTGAAATCCTTCTTAAATGGGTATGCAATCTTTGAGAAGCTTTTCTTCCACACAATAGCAGGAATATATACACAGTCTAAGATCCAAAAAGCTCTGGTGAAACAGCACTTCTGCAGAACCGAAAAGGACAGAGAGCAGTTCGAAATGGCTTCTTTTCTGCTTTGTGACAACCACAACCATTGCCCTCAAATGTAAAAAGCATAAATGTAGATTTGGTTACCAGAGAAAAAAAATCTTTCTCTCTCTTATCTAGAAAATGCTATATTTGATCTTAAGAGCTAAGTGTGTAAGATGCTAAACAATAAAATGTCAAAAAATCGGCCGAGCATCAGAGTTCTGGCAAGCTGGCATCAAAAAGGCCATTTAGCTTTTGAAGGCGACTTTCAGCTTCAGTTTCCACAAATCAAAATACAGCTCCTATGTGCAACCGCTTTCTCTAGAACTCCACGAGTTCCTGACAAAATGACTCATAAGGGAACACTAAGGTTTTATGGTTTATTATGACTCTGTGGCATAGTCCAATATAACTGCTATTCCAGAAATTCACGTAATTTGTTGCTTCAAAATCCTTAATGGGAATGTAGCAAGCCTTTTTCACACAAAAACGCTGTTCTGATGCTACATAAATCTGTTACATGCTAAATGCTGATCCAAATATTTACTCTTTTTTCCATCAATATATGTCCATAGTGATTTTCAGGAAGATTTTTAAGCAGAAAACGTGATTGTATGTTCTTCAAGCTGTTCAACTAACAGCAATTATTTATACATTACCAAATCTCCATTCTGTGTATTTATACAAAAATAATATTCTTGGTAGCTATGAAAACTTCCTACTTAACATTAATCTGAAGTCACTGTGCCCCAAGAACATAGAATAAAAGTACCTTCTAGGTTTCATCATGTTACAACCTATGCAAAATATTCTTTACACTTTGTCAATAAGACTTATTTGCCTTTGAAACTATTTAGGTAAATAAGACACTCACTTGTATCATCATTCAGTAACCTGTTCTTGAAAACTGAAGGATTATAGCAAGCAGTAGACAGAATTAAGAACATGGCGTACTAGGCACCTCTATTTAAATGGCATTTAACATAAAATACAAAAACCATACAGCTTTTTTCCATGCTGTCTGAGCAGAGTTGAGAAATTGAAGTAAACATGAGATTTATACTTTTTCTTGTTTATCTAAAGGCTCCTTGGAGCAGGTTACCTTCTTAGGGAAATGCAGCAGAGCCGAAATCCACATACCACTGCAACAGCTAAAGCTTGGCACCAGCTCCTCCTGGCATCAGGACAGCAGCCAAGGAATGTCCTCTATTGCTGTAGCTCACACATCTCAGGCTTCACACTCAACAGGCGTTCGGAGATTGCCCCTTGCACAGGAATAAAGTCAGTGAGAGAACTTCCAGCTAAGCTACCGCCCACCCAGCAACCCGTAAGCCTTGTGCTGTGCATGTTCAAAATCCAGCGTCTCCTCCCTCTTGTGGCAGACTTTTTGTGCAGTCCATCCTGCATCTGCTCACTAACAAACGATGTGTTTAACACTGCTCTGTTTATGTGGGTTTAGAAACAGGTGCCCCTCATCGCAGAATAATTTCGGTTGCAGGGGATTTCTGGAGGGATGTCATCTAGTCCAGCCTCCTGATTCCAGCTAAGCTAAATTCAAAGTCAGATCAGGATGCTCAGGCCCTTGTCCCATCAAGGTTTTGATGTCTTCAAGGAAGAAGATTGTACAACCTTTCCAGGTCTTAAATCCACTGGAATCTCCCTTTCTGCACTTTGTGATGGTTGCATCTCTGCCTCTTGCTGACCCACACTGAGAAGAGTCTCCTAAGAGCTGAATTTGCAGGAGAACCGGGTACAGGTATGCACCGTACCGCTGACCGAATTTAGCCACACTGACCACATCTAGCCCTTGTTACCGTACCTGCCAGGTTTTACGCAGAACTTACATCACCACTCTGTGATATCTGTAAAAGCCAAAATGCTCACAAGTTACAGGTGACCTTTTCAAATATACTTATCTTTCTGAACCTACAGGGGCCTTCTGTTCCCTTTCTGGGAGCTGACAATTTGGATATAGACAAAGAAATACGTGCAAAAACGTGATCCTGGAGTTTTGCAGGAAATAAACTTTGCTTATCATCATTTTAATTTTACTTCATGCTTTGAAAAACACAAATTTAATTTTACTTCACTTTAAATTTAATTTTACTTCATGCTTTGAAAAAAGCAGAAGGTCTTCATGCTTTCGGTCACGATTCCACTTGCAGAGAAGAAAACAAGCCTCCCAAACCAAACACTCACAGGGCTGTTGCACAAGGCACATCTTAAGTGGAATATGCATCTTTCCTCAATCCACTAGCTCTCAGTATAGGAAAATTTAAACAGAGACCCTTACGTCACTTGAAATTCTTCTGCACATTGATAATTTGACGAACTTCACATACAAACATTTATCATCATCTCAAGTGGACTGAAGCACACTACATGGAACAAATATTTTCTTTACGAAATAGTTGCTTCTTCATCTGATGCCTAATCTAGGCCAGGTCCACTTTTATGCCTATGGCAGGAAACTATCTCCCAAATTTAGTTTAGACTGGTAAGTCACAGGCTCAGGTTAATTTCTCCACACACATTCTAGTTCTAGCTCAAGTTTCCTTGTTAATTCTCAGCCTTTCAAATTCTCATCTCCTACTTTCAAAGTAATTAATAACCATTACTGCTTGTATTTTGTCACCCTATTTTCCCAGTTTTCTCTCCTAGCAAAGCCAAGTTTCACCCCCAAACTGATTTCTACCTAAAACTATTTCCGCATGTCTCTGGAAAATTAAGCTCACCAACTTTTGCTGAGTGACTAAGCACTGACTTTTAACAGTTCAGCCCTGTAGGTTCTGAATGCAAACTGATTTTTAAAGCTGCTATAAGCCAACTTCTTTCTTTGGCTCACAGTCAGCTTTCTTCTGTAATTTCATTTCAATAGCCCTGGATGAGCCTTAGCGGCTGTTTGTGTTTAATAATTCTTATAACATGGCATTTGGGAGGTATGCCTTTCCTGCAGAGTCCATCTGGCAGGACTGTTCTCTTAATAAATATCCTGTGAGCTTTCTTTATTGTCCAGAATGTAGTTACACAGCTGTCCCTGATAATAGCTATCACTATGTTTATATCATGTTATATTCATCTCAGACGTATTTTGGAGCAAGCTGAGAAGCTATAAACTAGCTGCAGCACTTAGTTTGTACCAGCTGCTGTCAGAACACAAAGGGAGAACATTATGCGGGGGAACTATTTTTCACAGTAGAAAGGCCTGTTGCAGGCACAGAGCAGCTTTGCTGATTTCAGTGCTCACAAGTCCAGTGTTTTCACTGCCAGCACAGATTAACTACCACTACCACTGCTCAGAAGGTAAGGATGTGCAAATGCAGACACCTATTGTGGCAGCCATTTTTAAGGGAGATGTGGTTTCTCTAAAACCCTTGGACTCCACCAGCTCATGGCACATCTTTCCTACATACCAGCTGTCCCAACTAGCATTTGGCATGGACGTATTTCTGTGAATGAATCAGCTTTGAAGCCTCACCACTGCAAAATGGCTAAGGCCATTTCCAGGCCAGGCTGGATGGGGCTTTGAGCACCCTGATGGGATAGGGGGGTGTCCCTGCCCCTGGCAGGGCTTGGAACTGGATGACCATTGAGGTCCCTTCCAACCAAAACCACTCTATGATTTTATGATGACGAGCCCCACTGACATAGTACTATAGGTGCTGCTTACCACATGTTGGAACTTGTGTCTGTCTTCCAAGTAAAGATTGCAATCTCAAAGGCTGTCCCTTTGGCCTCTCTTGTGCACAGCCATCAGTATTTTACTTAGAAATCGTTATAACATGTTAGGAAGAGGAAGTCCTAGGTATAGAAAATTTTCTTTGCATAAAAATAGCAACATTGGCAGTCTTAACTACTGCAATGAAATTCTGTTTCTTCTACTGATCTCAGGAGTGTTTTCAGGTCCTAAAATGGAGTGAGTTCATACTCGGAGCGGGGGAGGTTCATTATCTGATTTAATCTATTTAATCAGCATAGTTGCAACATATTTCTCAGATAAAACCTAACAAGAAATATTAATCTAAGGTTTGGAATCAAATGGGTTGTGAGCCAAGTCTGTAAAAAGTGTATTTTTCCCCCATTTTGCTCTGTCTTGGTTTTGTGGTCGGTTGAAGCTGCTAGAGTTTCATGACCCTAGTTTGATCATCATCAGTGAAAACATCAAATGATGGCATTTATTCTCAGGATCTGTACATGCGGAACCCCCGTAGTTGCCACTAATACCAAATACAAAAGAAACAGGAAGGAGTACAAAGATGAACGTTTCTTACCACAGATACTGGTTTTATTTTCTCATGTTCTGAAGAGGAAAAAAAGGCCTTGAGACGCACGCTAAGGTATCACAAAAGTTTGTTAGTCACTGAAGAGGAACCTACAGTTGTATGTTTCCTTCATTTGGAAGTAAATAGTGCAATGAGGCCATGTATGTTATAGGATGGACACAGATGTGCAATCACACTGACACCCATCCAAGACTTTCATCTACAACATTTTATACAAATACCGAAGTTGTCGGAGGTTCTCCTGGATAAACACTGTACTTCAGCAGAATTTATAGTGTGTTAGAAAGAAAGATAGAGCAAGCAGCTGCAGGAAAACAAAACAAAACAAAACAACAACAACAAAAAAAAGCCATGAAACTTGTTTAGTAAGTCATAGTCTACCCATATACATTTTCCTTGTTTTAAAATACTAGTCAGATTTGTAAAACATGATGTCCAAATGCTAAAGCAAAGCAACCAAAGCCTTTGGTCTCCCTGCTTTCTGTTTGTTTAGCTATATGTTTGTGCTACAAAGGTAATAATTATCCATTTTTCTTCTCTTGGTTGAAGAAAAGTGAACGTTCTTGCCACGAGGTGGCAGGAGCTTTCCAATTAGAGTCTAATCAAATCTGTGCTCTAGTGACAGATTGCTGGTTGTCAAGACTAAAGGCTGTTTCCATGAAAGTCTCAGAAGGCTTGTGGACAACAGTTGTTGTTTTCTCCTCATTCTGGGAACTATAACTAGAGAGGCATCCTGAAACACTTTAAAACAAAACAAAACAAAAAAGTACTTGGAAAAATTGCTTTCAATTCTGGATTGATTCCGATATCAACACTCTTCCTGTTCAAAAGCAGAATCCTGAAAGTTCTATTATTGTCACTTCCCAGACCAATTTTCCACCAGGAACAAAGCCATCCACATCTATTTAAAGTAGCAGCTGCCCCTCCTGACATTTGGCACCCACAGCCATGTGGGGCAGCAAGCTCCATTGAGCACCGCACTTCCAGCTTGGCATGGATTTCTGAGAGAAGCCAATCCTCCTTGTATCTATAAGAAAACCCAACATAGGGTGAGTCTACTTAGATTCATTTCTGCCACCTAATAGAGGGTGTTTTTTGCTCTGAGTATCCAAGGCTTGGTTTTGCATTTTTGGGGGGTTCCTAGAAGTCGTCGTTTTCTCTGATCTGCAAAAGATGTCAAGGTCACCCTTGATCCAAGCCAAAGTCTTCCTTATTCCTTCCTTTCCTTCCTTGACTGGAAGCATATGTCCTGAAATACAGCAGCTACACTGTTCTTGGAGGTGTTTTCCCCATGCAGTTCCCGCTGACACCTGTGCTGCTGTAATTCATAGAACGGTTTGGGTTGGAAGGGACCTTAAAGATCATCCAGCTCCAACCCCCTGCCGTAAGCAGGGATGCCACCCTCCAGATCAGGTTGGCCAAGGCCCCATTCAGCCTGGCCTTGAGCACTTCCAGGGATGGGGCATCCACAGTTTCTCCGGGCAACCTCTTCTAGTGCCTTACAGTAAAGAATTTCCTCCTAATATCTAGTCTGAATCTATCCTCTTTTAGTTTGAGACCATTCCCCCTTGTCCTATTGTTATCTACCCAAGTAATGAGTCCTGTCTTTTTTATAAGACCCCTTTAAGTATTGAAAGGCTGCAATGAGGTCTTCTTGGAGCCTTCTCTTTTTCAGGCTGAACAGCCCAAGCTCTCTCAGCCTTTCTTCATAGGAGAGGTCACAAGGGCAGGGCAGAGGGACACAATCCCTTCCCATCCCTGCTTCCTACTCCTCTTGATGCAGCCCAGGACGCACTTGGCCTTCTGGGCTGCAGGCACACACTGCTGGCTCATGTGGAGCTTTTCATCCAGCAGAACCCCCAAGTCCTTCCCTGCAGGGCTGCCCTCAGTGAGTTCTTCTCCCAGTCTGTGTTCATGTCTGGGATTGCCCCCACCCAGGTGCAGCACCTTGCACTTGGAATTATTGAACCTCATGAAGTATATAATAATTATATATATATGATTCTGAAGTATAGACCTAGCCTAAAGCTTCCAGAGTTGCTAATTGAGCTA